TTTATTTATATTAAAATAACTAGAGAAGAGACTAACTACAATAAATATTTAACATGAAATTTTAGACTACATAATAGATTGCTAAGACTTTTGATGTGCTTGACTTTTTTCGAAAGATTTCTTAAAAGGGTATTTGACTGACTTCTTGTAAAGTATTGGATAAGGAAATAGGTTTCTATAAACGTTCTTTTTTCCTTATGTTTACACCAAGCTATATTTTATTCCATCTGTTTTTTTTTAGCTAAAGTATAAAAGTAACTCGTCGATTAGTTGTATTGAGTCCTTCTTTCGGGAAATCAATAGGAAACAATCAAATATATTTACTATTATTCATTGCTGGCGATATCCTCGTAATCTTAATTAAGAGTTGGTTTTTTAAAGTTGTTCAATACTCAAAAGAAATAGTTAAATAACAAGAAAATTGAATTCTGTAGAAAACTTGTAAATTTGACACAACAATGAAACCAGAAATCAACGTCATAAAACCATCAACACGCAATTTTCGACAAGCCCTACAGCAACAACCGATAAATTTCCCGGACACTTTGCTATAGCTAATAAATACAGCCGGAAAAAGGGACGTTTTTAAACTATACAGTAGCGCAATTTTCACTGCACTCTCTTAATGTAGCCTGAGTCAACAGAGAGTGCCTCTAGTCATCTGAAAAATCTCAATTAGCAAGCTAGACGCTTAAACAAGGCGAAAAAAGTAGGGCAAACAAATTGAATTTTTGGAAAGAAATACTATTTTAGTAAGTTATTTTTTTGTACGTAATGACCTATCTGAGCTGAAATACCATACGCAAATCTTCCTTATAACATATTTTCACATATACTTATTATATGGAAAGTTGAACGAACTTTGATTCTGAGACATATGTCGGGCAAAATATGCTTACCTAGATATACCTCATAAAGAGTGTTATATTAGTATATATATATATATATATATATATATATATATATATAATATATATAAATATACTGAATTTTGTGAAAGGATAAAGGATGATAAATGATAGACGCTTTCCATCTAAATAACAGTCAATTCACACGATCATGTTTTTGTCGGATGGGCTAATCTTGTTTGCACAGTTTGCATATAAATGCTACAAAATTTTAAATATTCCTTAATACTAGACTTTGATAATCAAAAGCTTGGGAATACGTGACATTTAAAATAGCAAAAGAGAGAAATACTCTTTTGAAGTTGGGTTTGGATCATTTTCTTTTATATTTTGCTATTACTAAAATCTTTGTATATCTTCCTTTATAACAATAGATAGGCTTTTATAGTAATCCAACATACTAAATCCCTCTATAGTGATAAAAAAATGATGATTATAAACAAAATTTGTTTACAACTCGTAAATAAATAAAAAAGAATTACATATCTACTATATTTGACCAATTTAAAATAAATAAGAAAATGAAGAGATAGAGACGATGAAGGGACAAGAAGAGGGGAGTAGAGAAGAGGAAAGGAAGAGGATAGAGATAGACAAGTGAAGAAACGAAGAGAGGCAAGTAAGAGAAAGATGTTATTCACCTGGAAAATTTATTACAAATACATTTATGAGATTTATACATCTGTGCAAATAAATTATTCGCAGAAAGAGTAAGCGAAAGAACGATATAATTTAATTTTGTCCAAAAGAAAGTAAATACAACGTAGTCAATATAGAGTATCTTAAAGTACAATGTTAAGCAGTAACTTGGCTCTTTGCACTTTCTCTTAGCAGGTTTTTAGAGAGGAAAAGAATGTCAGTTCGAATAATGTTGGTTTTTTTGATCCTTCGACTCCACAATCCTATTACTTAGTTTTTTTCTTCCATTCCCTCCACTTTTTCACTAACTACACAAAGGATAGCTAACTTCTTTTAATTAACATTATTTACATAATAATGATACGTGAGTTTAATAGCAATACCATAGTAGTTTTCTTTAATGACTCATCTTCTCCATTTAATAGCCTAATCTACCATGTTCTTTCACGCAATGAGCACACCGTTGAAATGGTCAAAGGTCTGAGATGGTCTTTTCTCCACTCAAATTCGCATTTACTTTCTTTTATTTCTGACTATAGTATTCTTATATTTTTTGTAAATTCATATGTTGAAAAATATTTTGCTTAATTCCTTTTTTTAGCTTTCTCCCTTTCAAATCAATCTACAATTAGAACTAATTAGATGTAATTTATAGTCAATTGTTTAAAGGCTTTTGTTACATTCAAATTCCCTTTTAGATAGTACAATGAAGTCTTTTTATAATTGGTTATTAATTTAGCCTCAATAAAAGAGAAGCTCATGAAAAGGAAAATATTTTCAGAAGAGTATACTGTGTATATACTTTATATATTATTTCAGGAAAGAAGCAGATAGACAATTGATGTAAGAAGTATTATAAATGAGCAAAAATTGTAGATTCCCTTAGAATATAGATATGTTATAGATAGAAGTATTTTGAAAGAGTTTAGTTAGAAAAATGCCATAGGAAAGCCTCTTTTGTACAAATCCACAAAAAAGAACCACCCACTTAATTGTAGTGAAATTATGCGTTTCCAAACCTATTATAGGTATTACTATATCTGCTACCGTCAATTTAAGTAATCGATCTTCTGGCTCAAATAGAAAAAGAAACATTCTCGGCTAATCAAAATCACATAAAAGCCGTTACTATTAATCAAACACGACAACCTTGAATTGTCTATGTCGCTTAATGATCGATTGACTGAATTTCTGTACGAGACCTAATTTACATAAATTACGGGATGAAGGGATAAATAGATTGTACCTAAGAAGATATATATTGCTCTTAGATGCTCTCTTAAAACTGTTTGTAGAAGGAAAATATTTCATTCAATTATATAAAATCAGTCTTCCTTGAATTTCTTACTTTTTATAAATCTTATTTATTATTTTAACCAAGATGAAAGTAAATATTTTGCAAAAAGTACTGAATATATATATATATATACTTTATTTATGACCCTATACTACAAAAATAACGAAAACATCAAAACTATATTGTATCATTTACGCTTTATCCCTTACATCTGAAAGTTTCATTGTCCTATTTAGCATACCCATTACTCAGCTTTAGCCTAATTTATTTATACGTACCTTAATTCTATTTAAAAACGGCCTAAGATAAACCGTTTAAGGATGATTTGTCTTTTACATATACTCATTTTTATTTATTTCTAGTAAGATTTAAATTAAAACTATAGAATTGTTATATTATTTTAATATTTAACAATATCCATGAGATTTAGCACATTCTCACATCTCTCCCTTATTAGGTGGTCAATTTTCTTCTCAGATTTATGTTTGTCAATGGAAAGTTGGTTAAACAAATGTACTAGTGATAATTAGATGTTCTTTCCGGTTTGTAGTTCTGCTTTCTTACTATTACTATTACTACTATGTACTAGAAGGTTTTTACTTTCTTCACATGAGTAACATATAGCGCCCCACTTCCAAGACACCAAACTGTAAAGGCCTCCTTTCCGATAAGAGAAAGATTGACAAACTTAAAGGTCGCCCTGTAATATCCATTTTTTTCCACTTTAGTAACTTTTACATTTAGTAGCAACATAATCCTATTAATCCTAATTTCCTTCAACGCTTTGCGGCGTGACTATGTGTCAAGACTGAATACTAAAAGTCAATTCCGTCAATAATAAATCAATATATTACATCCGATTTATTCTACTTTGTTAACAAAGTAATCAATGTTAACAGTAGTAACAATGTATTTATGTATACTTAAATATATATATGTATCCTAATAAAAAAAATATAAAAACTCTTAAACAAACATTGTAAATTTTTTCTTTTTCGTTTTACTATATAAAACTATTATGATGAACAATTGGCGTCTGTTAACATATTTATTAGTAATTACCTTTTTGATCTGTTAAAATTAGCATATTTATCATATTTCAATATAAATTCCCTTTTCTTACATGCGTAAGTATAGTATAGAGTAGAAAGTATTTACAAATACAATATATATATATATATGTATCTTCTAATATTAATCAAAATTATCTCTCACTTTAAAGGTTAACTGGTAGAACAGCTATTATGCTTAGAAATTTTCCGGCTGAAAAAAGTCTATTTTTTTAAGGTTTCATAATCAAGGACGAGATGCAATTATCGCAAATTGAAAAGCAAGCTGCTGTAATGCTCACAGCGAAATATATATATATATATATAAATACTTACATTTCATACGTTAGTATGTAATATTGTGATGCTTCGTTTTTTGTTTATTTTCAATGGACTCTATCTTTTTTATTTTAATATGTAGGAGAGTACGGAAATAAGGCCAAAATGAAAATGGTGGATACATAGGAAATATGAAAGAATGAAAAGGAGAAAAGAGTCAAAAAAATATAGGTGAAAAGAAATGACTGGAGCATATTTTGCCTATAAGCTATCCTTACAATTTTCATTAATTTTTCCTCTAACAATTGACCAAAAGCGTGACATTGTTGATGAACAAAAACGGATCAAATTGATTTTTGTTCTGCGTAGTTTCGTTTCATTTTATCCGTAAAGAATATGTTGACAATAAGACCAAAACAAAACTTCGCAACATAACTAAACGATAGAAATAATTGGAAAAAAAAGATAAAAGTACATCAAATGTACAATATAACCTTTTTCTTGTATTAACTTATAAAATTGAAATGAATAACAAAGCTTTCTTTCTTACTTTGCGTACAAGTATAATATTCGTTACTTATTATCAATTTATATAAGATTGAGAGATTTCTGTAAAATTAGACGAAAATAATAATTTACTACTAAAAATAAAGATGAAAGAGAAAATCAAAAACACTTAGAAATACAAGTTTTGCAAAAATATGCAACAGCTCTTTTCGTATGATTTTACTTTTATAGTAAAAGATAAATCTCTTAAATATAAATATTTTTTAAATATTTTTACGAAAATAAAACTATAAAGAGGGAAAATTTTCCCAAGTCACTAACCTGTCAAGCAGATCAGAATAACGAGCGAGCAGCAAGTTGCATGCCTACAACGGTTAAAATCCTCTTTCCTTCAAAACTATACTGGAAAAAACTGGCGGCCGTTAGGTGGCGTTGGCTTTATCTTGATACGAAGATCACTTTCTTATATCTTTTACTATCTTTGCTTAGCTTTTCTTTTAGTTTCAGTATAGAACATAAAAAATTCAATAATAAAGAAGAAATAATAGACTATTTTTAACTGAAAATTGCTATATTAATAGAATTTATTTTATTAGTCTATTCATATTGATCATTTTCGTTAATCTTTACATTCTGTAGAAAAAGGCAACGTGAACGGATTACAGATATTAATAACATGGCTTTGCGTGATTGTATTCATTAATTCGAAGAGTAATTACATCTGTAATCAAGCGTTATAAATCACATGGAAGAATTAAAAAAGAGAGTGAAAACTCGAGAGAGAGAGAAGTGAGAAAGACGGGGGAAAAGTAGAAAAATTTTCTCTTTATTTAAGTACTTCTAAGCCTAATACAATATAAAACTGGAACTAAACAAAATGATGTAATGATACACATTTAACAATATTACTGAGGAAATATTAATTGAGACCATTAAAAGGGTTTGTATCATCATCCTTAAGGCAACTTCTCCTTAATATATTTAGGCAACTTTTTCTCAATATTGCAATCATAATTTCTATAATAATAATCTATCCTTTCCTTTTAAAAATTTTTAATATTGTAAATAAAATTTACTACTACCTTTTAGTAAATTGATTGAAATGTACATTAATCATATAAAAACCTGACTATTATAATCTTTCCAATTAATTAAATATGAACAAACTATTATAATTATTAAATTAAGCTATTGATATTAATCAAAGTTACAAATATATTTTTTTTTTAAAAAACAAAAATTATTGAATATAAACTCTTTTCGTCTATATGCTTATACTGTGTTTCTGGCGAAAGGGATCAGTATGAGGCCAGGAATAGAGGATAGTTCAATGTCTAGTAGCTTATAAAAAAAAGAATAATATTAGCTGGAAAATTTAAAATAAACATGCCAAGAATGCAAATAAAACTCATGATAAATGTTGTCTTCGTGCGGACTCTGTAAACACAGTATGTTATAGTAAAGTTAGTTGATCATGAAATGCACTAACAAAGTGATATAACCTACGGCAAAAAGGATACGACTTGGCTTTCTTACTATTTTTAAATATTAACAAAATAAGGACAGAGATATGTTTATTATTAAGATTCAATTGTAAAGGGAAGCTTTGTTTCTATTTGTATTTAATTATGGTTATTCATATAGTAGGAAGAGAGATTTTACTGTTTTATTTTTAAGTATCTTTAATTATTCTCTTTATTGAATACTTTTCTCTTTCGATTCTTAGTTTCGTTGGAAATTGTTGATGAAAAACACTATCTTTGTTTAGTATATTTTAAACCGAATTCAAAGGGAATAGAAAGAATAAATAAAGGACTACATTATTAAACACCTCATATAACATATCATCACACTTCTTTTCTCTAACTATAAATTATCTTATTAAATATTCTTAGGGACAAAGTTATTATATTTTCGCAGATTTTCCCTTTTTTTTGTTTTTTGTTTATGTTTCATCAATCGAAAGCGAAACAGATGTTTCAACATACTAGTGGGACTACCTTTTATCTAAAATTGAATATTGTTACGTTTCTCCTTCCTTCTGTCTGTCATTTTATCTGTTCGTCTATTCTGTAATTAATCTAGACACTATTTTCTTTCTACTTTTAAATATAGACGGGGAAAAAATGAGGAAGCGGCATTTATCAAAACTGTCTCTACCTTTTAATTAATACAATGCAAAATTAAAAAATAGAAAAAAAGTATAAAAAGACTCATTTGGAACAAAAAACGTTACTGTCAGCTTAAAAGTCAATCAAAATAACTTGTAAAGTCCTTGGAGACTGATTGAAAATGTTGAATAAAATGTTATACAAAATAGATAAGTGTAAGAGAATAAAATCAGAGCAATAAACTTCCAAGTTGCAGGCAGTGAATCTCGCCAGGCAAACTCTCAACTCAATTTACGTCTCGCTTGATGTCGTTGACAAGTCTGCAGTCTCTTTTCTTCTTTCACTCTACTCTGCTATGCCTTTGATACGTTGCGCAATTGAGTTGGCTACTCAGAAAACTGCTCTATGCCATCAGCTTTTTCTTAAGTTAAAAATTGTTACTAAATATAGTAAAAAACTTTTAACATCGATATTTTTGTATTATTGTTAGGAAAGCGAATAAAAAGAAGAACAATAATGCTTGTTTATATAAAAAATAAGAAGGTAAGAACTATGAAATGGAAAAGATTAGAGTACTCCCTTCATTCTTGTATATTTTTGATATGTTAAACCAAAAAAAAAAAACCAACAAGTACGTACTTAATAGGTCTTACTTTAGCGGATCAACTCCCCTCTACTTATTTTCAAAAGGTCGCTGCCAGTTCTACACTCTCTCAAAAACAAAATTTTATAATGCCTTTATAATATCATTCCTTTTATTTTACCTTTATCCCAATATCTTTTCATTAAATATTTAAAAAGATGACTACTTATAGTTTCCTCTGTTATTAGTTTTTTAAAGTAAAACTGTTAGTATTCGAACAGTATTAGACTCAATTTCTTTTCCTTTTTCTCTTACCCTCCTTCTTCAACGCCTTCCTTCTTTCTTCTCTTTCGTATCACAGTGAAGGTAACATATGAAACAAACTGTGTAGCATACAAGAAGAAAATATGAAATTTTTTAGGCTACTGGATATAAAGTAGCTTTACTGCATCTGTATTTATAAGTCTTCTTATAATTTACTTCAGATAGGTAGACCCACAGAACTGGTAAAAGGAATATTAGTGGGAGGCAAGTGGATTCTTTTGTTTCAAAAAAAATAATAATAAAGACTACTATGTCTTCCACTTTTCTACATGTACTATATATTTTACTATTTATAGAAGAAATAAATAACTATATTCTGACTATTACAATTAAACAGTAAGTATTAACTGATGAAAAATCATTCATATTCTGTAAACACTCTAAATATTCTATCTTTAAATGATAGATTGATGAATATTCATAAGGAAAAGTGTCATAAAATTACGATTTATAATGGTAAAAGAAATGAAATGATTTAACATTTCTTTCTTTTTTTTCTTTTTCCATTAGATTATAAATGACGCGTAATTTTAATGATTATCCTTGATGTGCTTGGTTTTGGTCTTGATCTTAATCTTGATGTTGATTACTGTAGCTTACAGGAAAACATTTTTGTCTCGTTATTCTTTTGATATTTTATTTAAGTTGCGAAGATAAATCAATGTTTTCCGAAAAAGAACAAATTGATATATTGAAAAATATATAAGAATTGATCTACCAGGCGTTACTATAAAAATATCAAGTATCTAAATTGGGCAATTAATGGTTATTTTGGGAATAAATTCGTTAAACTAACAACCTATGCAGTAAGATCTGCTTTCATTGTTAGACATTGATTGGTTTGTTCGACCCTCCTTTTTCTCCAATAGATATTTGGTATCCTTTTGCTAAAGTAAAGAAAAAGGCTAAAGTGTTGAGTGATAGTTCTGACTTTGTAGTGTTATCTGAGTAGGTCTGCGCAATCCAATTTGCATAAATGAATTTGCATGTGAGGCACGCTAAGACATTATCGAACAAAGTGATTTATATGTGAGAAGACGGGACTACATATATATATCATAGTTAAATATTTTTGAACTAAGATAATAACATCGCCGATGAAAGATTTATTGATATATGTTACTTTAAATCGGAGTAGTATCTTTATATGAGGTAACCTTGTGACTCGAGTCAACAGCAATATCGTATAGCTAAATCTAACTTTATTGCAAACTAAGAAAGTAGCAAACACTACTTAAAAATCCTATTTTATTTATATGAATAAAACACATATAGCTGAAAGAATATAGTTTAAAGTAAATAATCCCTTTTATTCAATCACATAAAATGGAATTTATTACGTCATCGATTGATTAATCATTCGACTTATACAATGAAGGGCAATTATAATTATTCTACCCTTGACATTCACTCTAAGTTTATATTTATATTTCTGGAACTATAAATAAGAAGAATAGAACTGTCAATAAATAAAACATGTTACAGAACTTTAAACAAAAAAGTGATCAAAATTCAATTCATAATATCATTTTTTTATTTTCAAAAGAAGAAAGGAGTGTATATTAAATTACAGTAATCTCTTCCTAAGTTCCTAGTAATAATCGGTCTGCTCATTGATTTCGATCCTATATTTGACTAGTCTATTTGTCAGTTTTCAACTTTCGTAAAGATGAATTACACCTTTTCATACCTTGTTATCCTTTTTGGATTTCTTTCTCTATTTGTAAGATATTCTAATAATCAGAAAACTTTTGGAAGCTTTTTTAAATTTACAAAAGTTTCATCGACGAATAATGATTTGTTCAGTTGTGATAAAAATTATGATGCTTGCATAAAAATTGGTACTTTTGACCCTGACAATTTACAAACTCAAGCCTTAGAATCGCTGTCAGTTGGAAATACTTTGAATAATATAAGTATAATTAATGCTATTACTTATTAATGGCCGAAAATGATTTTGCTCTAAAATCTTATAGATTACTGCGATTTCTTACCCTGCAAAAATGGTGGAACTTGCAGGAAAGTGGATTCTGAAAACGGCTACAAGTGTGATTGCAAAATTGGCTATAAAGGAGAAAATTGCCAAAATGACCCTTGTAATCCGTCTCCTTGCCAGAATGGAGCAACATGTACCAGAGTACCTTCGTTACCTCACGGTTTCTCATGTGCCTGTCTAACGGGATTCTACGGAAGATCATGCGAACGAGGTTTAAGCGCTAACCAAAAAAATAAACAAAGCTAAAATATATATTTTCAGAAATACACTAAAGTAATCAACTTTCTTATTCTTCTTTTACAGATGGCTGCAACCCTACACCCTGCCTAAATGGAGGAACCTGCGTTAGAACAGATTCAAATGGGGCAAATTTCATTTGTCAATGTCCCAGCTATACTTTAGGAGATCACTGCGAAAGAAGTCCTTGTAGCCCAAATCCTTGCCAACATTCCGGAATTTGCCAAATTGATTTAAGTAAAGATTACAAGTATAATTGTACCTGTATAGAACCGGGATATAAAGGAGTGAATTGCCATGATAGTCAGTATTTATGTCTTTGTTGATAATGAAATTTATTCATATAATACAGAGAAATTAGATTCCGTCTGTACTTATAGATGTGTGTAACCCAAGTCCTTGCTATAATCGGCAAAAATGTGTCAAGAAATTAGCAACAGAGAATGCTAACCTTTACGGATGCGATTGTTCGAGAGGCTTCATTGGCTCAAGTTGCGAACTAGGTCTTAATTCCTAATTAATTTTAAAAAATTAGAAAATTTCATTCACCGAGCTTCTTTTACTCATCAGACGCATGCGACAATCATAATTGTAGTAGAGTTGGTGGATACTGCATTAGATTAGACTATCCCCACTTTCAATGTGGATGTTACGATGGTTTCTCCGGAGAGATTTGCAACCACGGTAAAAAAGAGTTATTAATGATAATGGAGTTAATTTTCTCTAGTCAATTACTAAAGGAAAAATAAAAAATGTCTTTTAGACGCCTGCAATCCCAATCCTTGCAACAATGGTAGTTGTCTTGGTTTACCAGGGGGAAACTTCACATGTAACTGCCTTCCCGGTTTTGTTGGAAATAGATGTCAAAACTGTAACAATGTTTTATTTTAAGCTTATCATTTGTCACTATTTTAAAAAAATGCCTCCCTTTTTAAACATAAACGTAAAAAGATTCTTGTTCATCGAATCCATGTCAACATGGTGGAAGTTGTATACCGGGACTAGGAGGATATAATTGCTCCTGTATGGCTGATTTCACCGGATTACATTGCGAATATTGTAATATTACTTTTAAGTTTAGATATTATTTATTAGTATATTTTGTAATTTTATAGATAAGTGTGAGTCAAATCCGTGTCAAAATGGAGGAGTTTGTAGTCAAACTACGAAAGGATACAAATGTACATGTCCTCAGCCATTTTTTGGAGTAAACTGCGAATATGGTACAGTATTTTTCGAGAGGATTATTTATAGATAATTTATTTGAGCCTTTTCAAAAAATAACAGAGTTTTGCAAACAAAATCCGTGTAAAAATAATGCAACATGTAATAGGACGTCAGATGAGATCGGATTTAAATGTTCTTGCCCAGACGGCTATTTTGGAAGATTATGTAAAAATGGTAATTTTTTATATTTTGTAATATTATATGACACTTTTATAGTCTTCTTTAATGATAGATTCTTGTGGCGTAAACCCATGCGAAAATAATGGAACATGCATGAGAAAACCGGAAGGAAAATTTAATTGCTCTTGCCTACAAGGATTTTATGGAGACTTATGCGAAAAGAGTAATTAAACATCAGTAATTTTATTAACATGTTAATAAAAGCAATATGCTTTTTTAAGATATATGTAGTCCCAATCCTTGCTCAAATAATGGACGCTGTACACCTACTAATGGAGGCTTCAATTGCTCTTGTAACAATAATACTTACGGACGTCTTTGTGAAATAGGTAAACAGTCTTTTTTACCGGCCGCCCTGAAGAGCAATGTAATAGAGTTTCTTTTTTATTTTTAAGGTCCCATAGAATCAGTTTTCCAAGATAAAAAAGCTGAAAACTTGTCTAAATGGTTAGAATGCCCCAAAAATTTCACTCTAAAGGCTATCTTTACAGTTCGTATAGCTTTTTAAATGACTAGATTTTATTTTTAACTTTTTTTTCTCCTATATAATCTCTATGAAAAATAGCATAAACAGAATTTTTCAAACAATTTAAACTACACTATTCAAGCTGTGTACAACATGGGTATCGCGTGCTTAACAAGTACAGGAAAATATTTAATAAAGCAATTTTTGCCTGGAGTTAATCAAACTTCAAACTCAACACTGTTATCGTGTAACGAAGAAGATTCTCTTAAGGCACTAAAAATGTCTGTTAATTCGGATATGATAACAGAAATCCTACCACATTGTGGCGGAGATAATGATTTAGGCCTTTATCACATTGTCAAATGTGAGGCTAATAAAGAAGTTTTCGCAATTCAAATATCCTTTTCAAAAAACTACGATAATCAGAGTACTAGAGCTATAAATAACTTAAGGTTTATTTGCCGTTAAGCGAAGTAAAGAAAAGGTCCAATTTATTCTGACTACTACACTGAAAGTTTGTTTGTAAAAAAAAATACACATCACTGCACTTGACTATTAACATCTTACGTCCTTTCTCTTCCTCCCTGCCTCCCTCCCCCCCTCTCCTCCCTACTCCTTTTCATATCTTGTTCACTTTCCTTCCTTCCAAACGCTTTCCTTTCTGGTAACATGTCTCTGGCTCACATTCCTTTTCGTGACTTGGAAAGATAAGATACTTTCCTACGATCAATATCCAGTATCAGATAAACAATACAACATTTATTAATTATGCTTTTTTGAAAATGTAAACTGTTTTCTAATGATAATAAAAGTAATTTTAAAGTTACATTTAAGTTAATAATAAATCTGAAATAGATATTCTTTTAGAAAAAAAATATGAAACTCTTTCCTTTCTACTTTCTTTTTATGAAAAAAACCGGGCACAATAGGAAAAAGCTTGTTCAATTAGTAAATGTAAGTAATCTAAAAAATAGACTTAAGTACCTCCTTTTGTCCCACAAATTTTCTGGCCCTGATCCCTTTAGAGAATGTATTTAAGAGCTTCCTCTCAGTTTTTTTCTATCTTCTTGAAAAGACATTCTTATGATACATGATACGTATTTTATAGATAAACTTGCATAATTATATTTTTATCTTACGCAAGAGATGTCACTAGTATCTCCGGTGAATTTTTCTCCAACAACTTTCCTGCCAAGTGTAGTATCTCTATGAATTAGAATTCCTAACTATATAAAAGCGAAATAAAAACAAGAATTGATAACAATTTACTAAGAAAATGAGGAGAAAAAATAACAAAATGAAAGTTATTAAAGAAGTAAAAGGTATATAAAGAAACTGTTTAAATTGAAACAAAAACCACTGAGTATAGGAAACAGAACGTAAAACAGTCGCTGACCATAATAAATTACTCAACTTACACTTTGAAAAGCCCCACCCTTGTCTGCACAGGTGTTTTGCGCAGCTTGATTCCACTTTTACATACGCCTTGCGTCAACAACTATTCAATTTCCCATCAATTACAGCCTATTGTAATATTTGAAATATTGTTTCTACTAACTTTTCTAATAGGCTTAGAACTTTTGGCTTTATCTCAATATAAATAAAACAAAATGATCTAAACCTTAAAACAGTATATTTTCAAAAAAATCAAATAAATTTTATTAGAACATTAATTAGAAATAGTTAAAATATTGGCAATAATTTATAATACTAATTTTTTCATACATTTTTCTATGATACTTTATTAAATTAATTAGGAGAATAAATTAATAAAAATTGAGTATAAAAAATAAAGAAGTCAGCGAAGAAGGTAATATATAGCTGTAGAAGAAAGCTTTCCTCTCCTACAATTGTATTAATAGGTTTCAAATTGAAATTTTTCAACTTTATCAGAACAAATGGACTCTTGGTTAAGTAACTAGTTCGCTTTTCCAAGTTCATCGACCATAGTAAAATAATGTTTACAATAAGAAAGAAAGAAAGGATAATTATTTATTTTATCCTTCCAAAAATATTCCTATAAAAAAGCTTTTAGTTTTTCTTTCAACAATCTTAAGAAAAAGTGAAAAAAGAAAGAGAAAAGTGAAAAAGATGAAATCTCAACAAGGATATAGCCTATTGCTGTTCTTACACGTATAAACAGACTGCAAAACACTTTTAACTTTACAAACTTCATGTCAAACACTACAGTTGAATCGACTGGTGGTTTAGCTTTTTGTTTGTTTATTTTTAGGCCTAATGGGTCCATTTGAAGCTGATTGACAGGTTCAACAATTAGAGAAACCTTTTTCTTTCATTCAAAAATAAAAAAAGTATTCAAATGTTCATATGGAATAATTTAACCTTAACGATTTCAAAGGGAGAATTATAAGTAGTATAAATTTTCATTTTATTATTCTTTTAAAGCGATCACTAACATTTACTAAGGTCATAGAAAAAGAGAAATAAGAAACAAATGTAAAAGTTTCAAAATAATTTTTTTCATTGGATAAATAAAAAAAATTCCATTTTAATGTTAACCAGATTTCTTTTTTGAATCGAAGGTTAAACCTTGGACTCTAATGTTTTCTTTTTATATATATAATTCGAGGTAATTCTTTCAATTAGACAGAAAGTCAACAATATATTTATGGTGTTTATTTAATAAATTGAAAAATAGATTATTAGTAGAGAAAAATCGCTGGAATTTATTATTGTTTTATTTTTTCTCTTTATTTTCTCATTGCTAGATTTGTAAACTATTTATAAATTCTTAGCTAATCGCTAATACATTTATACAGGTTCTTCTTTTAGTTAAAACTTTAGAAAGTTTAGGAGGAAAAGTTGCATTTCTTTTTTAAAAAGCTTAGGAGAGTGTAAAGTAGGGAAGATCCTTGAAAAATTTTCTACATACCTTTCGTAAAATTTAAACCCTAAAGCCTACTATAATAATACACTCAGAAGCAGCTCGCACCTATATAAACAACAAACTTAGCGTCTAGACCCTAATTCATTGCAGAAGATATTTATTGCCAAATGCAATATTACGAAATTTAGTTTCTTTGCTGCACTGAAAGATTTCTACGTAGTCGGGCTGATACCTTGACCTTTTTCCGGCTTGAGCTAATGAAACATTTTCTCCCATCTGAAAAGGAAAAGATATCATGTATTGCATTTCCTTTTCTTTTTCTTTCAAGTCTTTTTCAAAGGCGACTGGAAAGTAAACATTTCAAATTATATAACACTTCAACAGGGAAAAAAAACAACCTACTAGAATTCGGCAAGTCGTTGATTGACGGAATAAAATTGGGCTTACTCGTTTCGAACTGCAAAGCAAATTAGTCCGTTTGCAGATTTACTTTTATGTTTTCATTTAAACCATTGAAAAAAATTAGTTTAGTATAAAAAGCTTTTTCATTTAAAGTAAAAAGTTCTCCTTCTGTTTTTTAAAAAAAAATAATTTAAGTAAAGAGAAAAATCGTCAGCATCTATCAGCAAATCTAGCTTTTCTCTTTTTTCCTTGTAGTTTTTGTGTGGTCAGTTTATTTTTGAAAGTGTTGAAAAAAGGGAGCGAAGAAAAATATTTGGCTATTTCTGACTGGAAAGTGAAATCGGTAGACTGGAATCCTGGTTCTTCATGTAAAAAAAAATCAACTTTTACAGGGAAAATTCTTGGATTTTTAGTAATAGACTAAAAATTTTCCCTTATCACCTCAACTTTGTATCGTTCTCACCGGTTACTATCGAAAAAGCGGCGTGCGTGTTTTTTTTCAGACGGTTTTGGGTAGTTATCTGTTATCATAATCGCGTGAAAGCAGCTCAAAGTGATGTACAAGATGGAATAAAAGGTTCGCTTTGTCGGAAGCTCTTCAATTGGTGATATTTACCTGCAGGCTGACTTACCACTTCCGATTAAATAATCTGACATTTAAGACTAGTTTAAGTTGTATCCAACACCTTGATTTAATATTTTCAATTATGTGATAGGATAAATCAATGATTTCCTTTATATTTTAATAAACACAAAAACATATCTTTCCAAGAATTCCTAGATTCCCCAATGGAATCAGCTTAAAAAAATAGACAATAATTGCAAGGAAAGTTTTAGCTAAAAAATGATTACTCCTTTTCATTTATCAGATGGAAGGATACTTAGGAAACTCATAAAGATATCAGAAGTAAAAGAATGTACATTCGCCGTATTTTAAACCTGCCTTTTAGTAGTTTTTATTCTACATTATCGTTTAATGCTAAATTTAAAGAATTGAGCCAATTACATCAATGTAACTTCTAAGACTATTAATTATTATAAGAGGCAGAACGAGATTTTGAATTTATTAAATAAATATTCCACTTGTAATATCAAGAAACAAAAAGCATCTCATTCATCATTTTACAATCAAAACTAACGTCTCACTATAGATGACCTTTATACAATATTTATTGTATTCCGATAATTGCATATGCTCTCATAAATTTTATATAATTTACTAATCAAATATAACGTTAGGCATTTAAAAAGTAAGCTATTCTCATTAGCATTTCACTTACAAGTCTGTTATTCAACTCAAATTTACAGGGGTTATGACCATACTCTTTTACGCTTTATGATTATACTTACAAATGGAAAGTTTTCGGGATACTATTTATAGAATGGAATTTTATTGTTTATAGTGTTATAAAAAGTCTAAAGACTGTGAAAGATCTTATAATATAGTTTATGAGGTCTATCTCTAAACGTATAGGTTTCCATTGATCTTGATAAGGTGTACAAGATGGTGAGAAATCTTTAAATTAACAGTTTAGTTAGGCTATCTTTTTGAGTTAAGTCTAAATTGATAATTGATAAGTTTTCTTATATTTGATACTTTGTATTGGATCAGATATAAACTAGTTATTAACTTTTTTCAATGTTACTAAATTCTAAACTTATTGTAAGCTGTTCTTCATTTTCATTACTTTGATGCTTAGGTTAACTTACGTCAGAATACTCCTATAATCTCAACGAACTTTACATATGTTTCCTCTTTAATTTAAAAAAGAAGAAAATGTTTCTTTAGTTGAAACTAATAATTTTTTAGTTTCTCTTCCTAGGCCTATTTCAGATTAATACAAACTTTACACATGTTGTACTGTATGTATTAGAATGGATATGTTTGAAGCATCTTTCTTTGAATGGGTAATTGAATAAAAGTGGAATGTAAACATTTGTGTACTTCTCCCAAGGATTCTCATGACGTTTATAAAAAAATTGGAAATGGATTCTTGAGTTACTGCACCCAAGTAACTTCCCTATAAACTTTTCAGCATCGGTAACATAAGTCATTCACCTTGGTAACTCATTGAAGCTAAGCAGACGGCTTTAAAAGTAATACCAATTCTAATGATCACTTTTTAAGTATACTTAACATATTAATCACCCTAATCCAACCTTTAACCTCCCACCAACGCATTGCACCTAGAAAAAGGCCCGTCGGAAACCGCTCAACAGCACCACTTTGCAGTAGACAGCTGCAAAATTTTGGCTAACATCCAAAAAACCTAAACTTATAGGCCAGCACCTAGCTGGGGCTAAAATAAAACCAAACCGCCTCTCTTACGGTATACATCTCAAATGCATAGCAATGATGGACGGTTTGTTCACCACAGTTGGAAAAATTACAAAGGCAAATTTAAGGAACGATGACGACCTAATAGATAAGTTAAATCATCGATACACAGTTGTATTTCTGGTTATATTCACCGTTGTTGTCTCAACGACTCAATATGTTGGAAATCCTATTCATTGTTGGTGTCCTGCGTACTTTACGAGTAATCATGAGGAGTTTGCCAATAAAGTTTGTTGGATTTCGAATACGTATTATATTCCTGACAGGGTTATGGCTGGAACGGGAAACTTAAAAGAACGTATAGGTTACTACCAATGGATTCCTATAGTTTTATTAGTGCAGGGATTTCTCTTCTTTCTGCCTTGCGTTATCTGGAGAGTATTTAGTAGCCGATCAGGTATTAATATTCATAATTTGGTGGAGTCATCCGAAACTATACAGAATGCTCTTTATCCTGAACGAAGAGATAAAACGATAAAGTATATGATAAGACACCTGGATCATTACCTGGAATACCAAAGGGAATATAGGGGAGGTTGTTGTGTTGCTTGTAAACATTTCTTATCGAGACATCTATGCCTGATATGCGGCAATAGGTCGGTGATTATTTGTCAAGTTTAATAGAGATTGAAAAGGTTAAAACTTTGAAAATTCCCATTAAAAATGAAAATGTTTTGATTTCGCTACTCTAAAATTATTCCCAAAGTAAAAAGGTTGGAGAAATTTAATCCTTTCCTGTTTTTTCTCATCTGAAATATTAAACTTGTAATAATTTTTAACTTTTCTCTCCTCAAAAAACTTTATAATCCCTTACTTTTTCTCAAGTTCTTCTTTTATCCTTATTTATATGTTAAATTGAAAGTTTCCTTCTATAATTTAAATTGTATGATTGTTTATATGAAGGATATAAATCAATTCATTTTTTCATTCATCATTTTCAATTTTTTTTTCAAAACTGACCTATTTAAAAAGAGTTCAAAAGTTTCTGAAGCTAAAAAACTCTAAGGATTTTTATATGTTGAAAGCTCTCTTTCATGACTGATTTTATAGGATTGAGTAATATTTTTCTGCTTAAAAAGATGAAACAAGTAAATAACGGACCAATTTTTTCTTCAGTATTATGATAGTACTAAAATCATCTAATTAGTGGTATTAAGATAACATAAAAAGTTAATTAGCGAATAAATTGACTTGTTTATTTAAAGATACACACATATATATATATATACATATATATATATATATTTGTTTATTTATATATAAACTCTATACATTTAATCTAGTAACTTGTGAAATAATCACTGACCAATGTACCTTATAAAAAGATACGGAAATTATTTAGTAGCACTTTACATGTCGTCGAAAATATTATACTTTGTCAACGTAATAGCTCAGTTATTCATGCTCAACGGCTTCTTAGGAACAGACTATCATCTGTACGGATTTGAAATTATTAGAGAATTATTTTATGGACGAGATTGGACAGCGTCTAGAAGGTTTCCACGTGTAACATTGTGTGATTTCGAAATCAGGCAAATGGGAAATTTCCATAGGCATACGGTACAATGCGTTCTACCCATAAATCTTTTCAACGAAAAAATCTACATTTTTCTGTGGTTTTGGTTCGTTTTCGTTTCTACAGCGACTGCAGTTAGTTTTCTGAGATGGTTAGTTTTCATTGGTATGAGATACAGTAGAGTTCGATATATTAGAAGACATTTAAAAGTTATGGATAAAATTCAAAGGGATAATGAAAGAGAAAGAAAATTAAGCTATAAATTTGCAGAAACTTATTTAAGACAAGATGGAATATTTGTATTAAAATTAGTAGGAAAGAATTCAACAGATTTGGTTGTTGCTGATATCGTGGCAGCACTTTGGGATAACTACAAAAATAAACCAATACATGGTGGAAGACCAGCTGATGAATATGACGATTCAGCCAGTATAACATAGAAACAAGTTTGTTTATTTATATAATGAATCTTTTTACGTTATTTCTAACAGCTAATTTAGGTATTTATATTATCAAGACAACTAAAAACAAATCCGTAATATTCTATTCACCTTAATCAAGAGTTTTTTCACTTTTATGTATTCTTATATCATCATTAAAAGGTCATAAATTAACATTAATTAAATAATTTATCATTCAATTTTTATCTATAAATAATAAGAAATTCATATGAGATAGCAGACATAGTGATAATAGCAATCGTTGTTGCGTTTGTTATTGATGCTGTTGTTAATATTATGATAGAAGAAATAATAGCGAGACTGAACAAAAGAAATAATATAAAAGAAATAATAAAAACATATTAGAAAATAGAAATAATGAGAACGATAATATAGGAAAAGGAGAAGTATAAACAATGTAAAGAAATATATACAAGTAATAGAAAGTTAATAGAATAATAGAATAAATTATAAATTATTTATATAGCTATAATATGGAAATTAGCATAATTATGAATATATTAAAGCTATTAGTGTATTTATATATAATAGAATTTCAAGGAACTTTTAGCAAAGTTTTACAAAATCCGTCTAAAATTTCAGATAGAATCTCAGAAATTTTTCTCACTATCGATACTAAGAATCAAAGTTTTTTTTTCACACGGAAATCTTCTAACGGCATCATAAAACGCTTTTCTAAAATACAAAAACTGCAAACGATTCCAGATCGTCTGACCCAGAAAACAGTACAAAGCATAATAAGTACATTTCTGCTGTAGGTATTTGCAATTTGCTTACACAGGCAAGTTCTATTAGTAAAAGTAAATTATTGTCTAAGTTGTTTTAAGGTCAAGTTATTTGTTTGACGAACAAACTTTTATTTTATTATATACAAATTTGCAATGCTTTATCGTAGCAAAAACTTCTGAAATCAACACTAAAACCTTATTTGCCTTATCAGTTGCAGACATTGGGAAAAACTATCCATTTCTCGGTAGATAAGCTAGTTTTGCGTATCTGAATGGTATTTTATTCAATAAGACAGCTCTTTCTTACCTCGTTAATCATTTCATTATTCATTTTACATGACGTTTCACTGGGGGCAAGTGACCTCAGGTGTATTCTCAAAAGAAGATGGTTAAATTCCTAGAAATATCAGATCAACTGCTTCTACCTACTGATAAGTTTTCCCATCTTTTAGTATGGTTAGTTTTTCTTTTATAAACTAAGAGTAAATTAGCAGAAATCACTCAAGAAACTATGTTCAACTTAATTAATTTTAAGCAATTATTTTTGATAGTTATAGTTATTTATTTTTAGTAAATATTATACAAATGTTTTATAAATATATCAAGATAGATTTATAATAACTCAATGGAAAATTATTATGATCTAGAAATGATGTCAGTCCGGCAACAGCTATAATTACGCTTATGTAAACTTTATACGAAGATTATAGGTCATTTTTTTGGATAAATCGTTTGGATTAGGGTTCTAATCCGCTCGCCTTTAAGGTTTAGGTCATCTTCATGCTAGGTAGATCAAGCATGGTTTCGCCTTAATGCGTCCGTGTTTCCTGATAAACGAATTAGAAACAGCTTTCCTTCCTCTAATAAATTTTTTAGTTCCTTTTTTCTTATCTGTTACTTTTTTTTGAAAACGAAAGCGCCATCTGTGAACCCTCTCTTAACATCCCTGTAGTGCCATCTCAATCTTATGTATAAATGCTTTTGACTCATGAATTTCACCTTTCAGCCCCTGCAGACATTCCAACTGCACATATCTTCCCAAAGTCTTTCCAAATATGGAGCGATGGTAGATTAGTCATGGAAGATAGTATGTTTTTTTTTATAGACAAATTCAAAGAAGAAAAATAAGAAAACTGATAACAAGAAAGAAGACATTTATCTTTATGACTGGGAAAATTTAATGTCGTTAGATATTTTTTTAAAAGAGTGAGAGAGCGAAAAAAGAGGCTACATACATTTAATTTTTGTCAGAATATGCATTAAAAAATATATTGTACATTGTTAATGAAAATCTTTTCTATTCATATAAACAAACAAAACGTTCAACTGTTATTACATTTATATTATTTATACATGTTTAAAGAAATATATAAAGCTATATATAAAAATGATATACCTTTATAATAATTATAATTGTTATACCGAAATATACAAAGAATATAATTTATTACGAAATTGAAATATCAACTTGTCTATCTTTCTTATAAAATCTTATGTATGATTCGATTTTCTTTAAGGCAATGTTCTAAAAATGGTCTATGAAAGAAGACAAACTCTTTAGATTCTTCCCAAATTTTTTATCGAACTGCCTCATTTCCTTTAGATAATTGAAAATCTCCGCTTTTTTTTCAGAAGAATTTTTCCATTTTATTATATTTTACTAAGAAATTACTACTCTTTCAATAAATAAGGTTTCCTTGTACTAATATAATCGTTTAAAGAGGGAAAAAATCAAAATAAAATAGTATAGATGAAGATATTCGTAAAGTTTATTTATTCAGATTGTACTTAGAAATAAGTGTATTAATAGCAGAGAATGGGTTAGGAGAAGGAGAGATTACTAGATGGGCGGAAAAGGGTTGAGAGAGGTAGAGGGAAAGGGGGAAAAAATTTCTTTTTTTCAAAACTTTATACTATTCTTCCTAACGGTTAGTTCAATGACTAAGAAGAGCTGCATGTTATCTTTAACTCTCAGAATGATCTTCTGGTGTATAAACAGTCTTTAGTTTATATCTGGTCAAGACCCTTGTTATTTAAAGAAACTGTTACAATTTTTTGTTTAGATTTTCATCTACTAAGGAAGAATCCAGGGAGTTTTCAACTGTAATTTTATTACTTAGATCAACAGTATATCCTTTTTCGAATTTCTCTCTTAGCTATAATGATTCACACTTTCAAAGAGCAGTTTGCTTCGTTACATCATCTAGGGTAGTTGTCTGGTGAAGGCGTGATTAAGATAAGTGACTCATTAATGAATGATATTATACAGAACATTCTCAAAATGAAAAATTAGGCTAACTGCGGTAGAAATGTTACAAACTAAATTCTTTAATCACAGTGTTTATTCTTTTATCTGTAATATAATAAAATTCATTTCGATATAATCTTCCATATTCGCTATGAAATGATTATTTTCTGTTACATAAATAACAATATATTTAGTCTAAATCCAACTAAACCAGGTTGATAAAAAAAATTATTAATAGTTCTTTTATCGCTCTAATAGAAAACATCCAAATTTTTTAAGACAAATTTTTTATGATAATCTTCGCCGAAAGTTTATTTTATAGTTTAGAAAATGGGATCATTTATTTCTATTAAAAAACATAAATAAAAAGACTGTTTGGCTTATGTTTATAGAAATAAAAAGGAGTAGTTTCTCTCTTATTCCAAAAAGTCTGGCTTTTCTTATATCAACTTTGTTTTCTTTTTGGTGTTGAAACGTTTCTAAATGTTTGAAAATGTTTAAAATTTACATAGTAAATGTTATATCTAATCAATTAGTCTTATAGTGATATTTATTTTATTAAAATAATGATAAAAAGTTAAATGTTTGACAAACGTTGATAAAAATGAATTAACGACTCTATTGCAAAACATTCATTTCCATTTATTAGATAACGGAGAATATGCACTCTATATATTATTAGTATTTATTTGTATGTATAGCGTGTGCAAGTGTTCTATTCCCTGCAAAAAAGAATCCGATTTAAAGCAATTTATTAGAATTACCAGAGATTTAAGACGATCGAAAGACGTTAGAGAGATCTAAACTTCTTCCTTTGGGGAACTTTTCCTTATTTATCTGCCAAAATCAGTTAAAGAAACTAGATGCTCTAGTGACCGTTTTATATACAATAATCAAAGTTGTGTATTTACGACGGATGGATACTTTAACAATTGAGTCGTCTATTCTATTTCCGATGAAGGAATGAAATTCATGTTTCAAATTGTTTATTAACGAGTAATTTCGAAGTTTTTTCTTCGCTCATGCCATTACTAGAGTTTGTAAAAGAGAGGAAAACCTATTATATTTCTATTGCAAAGTGTTGCTACGTAAATACTTTACAGGTCGGATATGAATAAGCGCGTGTTTGCGGTTGTAAATAAATAAACTACTATTACTTTTCAATGAAATAAAAATAATACAAAATTCTTTATAAGCTATTAATCATATATCAAAAATATATAACTATCATCTGCTCATTTTTCTGTTGTTCTTATAGGATTTCAAACAGAGCTGTGATTCTAAACAAGCAGGAGCTGGAACCTAAAGATGGCGCTCTGTATTTGGGAAATATGAAAGACTGACTGAAAATTATTATTTGCAAATAATGGAAATTTAGTAATTTATAGCAAGCAAAGATAATTTTAAAGCGTTCTATGTCTCAATAATAAGTTTGTAATAATCTAATTATTATATTATTATTCAGCTAATTAAAGAGATGAGTTAATGGTTACAACCTCTTTAAAAATTACTCTTCTTCTCAGCATGACGCCCGTTGCTAGCTAATGATAGATTTAATAGTTGCCCATCCGTATTTACGAGGCGAGTAAGTTTGTCAATCTGTCGCGTTATTAGGAGAATAGAAATACTCAGCAAAAGACGAGAGAGACAGCTCTCTTCAGTGACGCTCGATAAATTCCTCCAAATTGTCAGGGAAGATGAACTAAAAGCTTTTTTTTTTCATAGTAATATATAATAAATAAATATATAATGTAATCTTTTCTCCTTTCTGGAATATGAATGTTTATGAAAAGGGAAAAAGGTAAAAGGGGCAAAAAAATAACAAACAACGAAAAAGTATGTACATGTTTAGAATATTCTGACGAAAAGACGAATGCAAGGAATCGTGTAATTCTACTTAAAACATGATAAGAGAATAGGATACATTAATGAAGTCCGACCTTTAGTATTAAATAAAGAGTAATATAGTATTCTTTCTTTCTTTTTTGACAACTGACTTGCTAATGTTCAACGAATGAGGTCAATCCCTATTTCTGTTTTCTTTCTTTTGTGGCAAGTTTTCCGTTTGCAGTATATTCTTCTTTTACTTGTCGCACGCTTAAACGCTCTTGGCAATGTCTTTTCCCATTTGAATTTCCTTTTTTTCTTTCTCTATTATCCAACAATTAAGCAATTAGGCATAAGTTTAAAGTTATTTTCGTACTCTATTTAGAATTTATTAGGAGAAAGAGAAAAAATATAGATTGTATGTATTCCCTACTGCCTTATATTAAATACATATAGAGTTAATTGCCCGACGGGCATATTCCATTACTGCCCACCACTGCGCTCCCATTAACCAATAACCAACGGGACAATGGACGAAAATTAATACGTCCGCTACCTCTAAGCGACCGATAGTGGGCGCTGTTGGAAGAAAAGAGCTAAGCCACGCCCTTCTTTATCCACTTACCGCCGCCTCTAACGCCATTTGCTTAGTGGAAAATTGCTCATAAAGTCCGTATAGACGTTTACAAATTGCCCAATTCAAGTGCAAATAGGCGGCTGCAATTGCATTCTCCTTCTTCCTAAAGGCTACAAATTGTCCGTTTGATTCCGGCGACGAACGGGTCGGTGAAGCGCGAAAATGTCAGCCTCTTCGCTCATTATCGCTCATGGCTATTGCTATTCGCCTCACTTATCTTTGGAACGCTCGTTTGCTTTTCAATCGTAGCCTAACAAACTCTCTTCTATATTTTATTAATCCGTGTCGGAATTTATAGGAACCGATTTCGTTCTTGTCCAAAATTCCATACTTTTTTAGCTTCTTTACCAAAGTAAAAAGAACTTACAAGTATATTCTCAATAATATATATGTATCTATAGCATAAATTTGAATATATATAGTATATATTAACTGAGCGAAGACATTAAAAGCCTAAATACCTTAAGCCCCCTCAAAGAAAATACTTGAAAACTCGTTGAAAAGAGAGACTTTTTGATATTTTTTCCCTTTGCAAACTATTTGTTTCTATTATACTGATTGGGTTTTCTTTATTCCTTTTAAAAATATAGTTATAATAGAAATTAGATAAAAGTAAAAAAAAGTGAATAAGAAAATAAATAAACCGTATACAATCTATATAAAAATTTATCACTCCTATATCCACCTTGATAAATTCGATCTATCTAGTTCCTTTTACTCGCTTGATAACATCTTCCTAAGTGTGATAGAATTCCTCTTCTCTTATATATACACTTCCGTCTAATCGTTGTAGCCGTTCTATTTAATCTGCACAAAACAAATTTTCTTCTAAAGATTGCGAACTTTGACCAATCGACAAATAATCCTGTTACCATACAAACTGATTGCTTTCTGTGATAATGTTTATTAAGATATAAGCGCAAAAAGTATTTTGTTTATCCTATTATCCTAAAGACATTCATTAACTCCATCCCAACAATAGGAATGTCGTCATTAGGAGAAGTCTAAAAAAATTATCTTTGTTAAAAGGCTTAAATTCTCCAAAACAAATATTATTTAGAAAGTGCACTATTTAATAGTAACAGTCTAGTGATCAGCGACGTCATATCGCGGACGAAAAATTTCCTTTTTTAACTTTTAAAGACGTCCGGTTTGTCAACTCCCTTTAATCTTCTCGAGTACAAATTGAAGTATACTTTTCATACGGGTCTTGAGAAAGTATTGTCTTTGATATTTAATTTTCAAATCTTCTTACTTATATAAATTACTACTCGGTATTAAATTAGTGACAATGATTAACAGACATGGAATCTAGCATTTTAAATAATTTGCGCCAACTCTCTACGTATTTTCGCAAAACATTCCAAAAGGAAAATTAAATATTTAAGAGGCAAACACTAAAATATATTTTTGGATGCTGTGACGTTCTATATTTTTAGTTTTAGCACAAGACAATAACGTTTAAAGCAAATATTCATAAAAATCACTTGGGAAGAGGACTGGAAAAACTGCCTTTCAGCATTGTTCCAAGATATTGATAGTAAATTTACTGTATATATATACTGTATATATAGATAAAATCTTCAATTATAGATTAGATAAACAGAATTTTAAATATTAAATGTATTCCACACTAGAGTTTTATTCTTTTTACTTTTGACCATACCAATTGTATATATTAAGGAATTTATTAAGCTTGTCGTTTAAATAAAGAATATTCAGTTTATAA